AGAAGATACAAGTCTGTTACAGTGTTAACTTTTTAAGTAAGTTACCTAGAAAGGAAACAGAGAAAACATAAAAGTATATACAAAAGAATCATAATTTTGCTACATGTAAGCATATATGTGCTTAGAGATAGGGAAAGAAGGAAACATACCATAATCACAAGTGATTATCTGAGCTTGTTAAGATCATGGGTAGTTTTTACCTCTTCTTTACATTTTTCTGTTTTACCAATTTTCTACCATACACATAATCTTTTTTCCCAACATAATATTCTCATTGTTATTTGGGGATTTCATAAAATGCACCCCAATCACTTCCCAGTCCTCCTAGGTCCACACATAATCTTTTTTTAAAAAGGAATTATTTGCTGGGTGGTCGTGGCACACGCCTTTAATCCCAGCACTCGGGAGGCAGAGGCAGGAGGATCTCTGTGAGTTTGAGGCCAGCCTGGTCTATAGAGAGAGACCCAAAAAAGGCACAAAGCTACACAGAGAAACCCTGTCTCAAAAAACAAAACAAAAAAAAAAAGAATTATTTAGTTTTTATTTATGTATATATGTGTGAGCCTGCATGAGTCTATGTGAACTACATGAGTGCAGGAGCCCACAGAGGCCAGAAGAAGGCATTTGATCTGCTGGAATAGGAGTTACAGAGCGCTGTGAGCTGCCATATGGGTGCTGGGAACAAATTCTGGGTTCTCTGCAAGATCAGTAAATGCTCTTAACCACTGAATAGCCTCTCCAGCCCCAAGATTCTATTTTGTCTACCATGAAACACTATCATGTAACACGAATTTCTAATAGGTCTTTATTTAAAAAAAAAAAAAAAACCTTGTACCAGATATTGGAGTAAATGCTGAAAGATCAGAGAGACAAAAGAACAAGCCACAGCCACCACCTCTTACCTCACCAACTCCTCAGCCTGAAAAGCCTCTAGCTCCTGTCTCCTCACGCCTTATATACCTTTCTCTGCCCAGCCATCACTTCCTGGGATTAAAGGCATGTGTGTGCTTCCCAAGCAAAGGCATGAGATCTCAAGTGCTGAAATGAGCAAAGGTATATGCCACCACTGCCTGGCTCTGTTTCTCTCGTAGACTGAGTCAATCTTATGTAGTCCAGGGTGGCTTTGAACTCACAGAAATCCAGACAGATCTCTGCCTCCTGAGTGCTAGGATTAAAGACATGTGCCACCACTGCCCAGCATCTATGTTTAATCTAGTGGATTGCTCTGTCCTCTGATCTTCATGTAAATTTTATTAGGGTACACAATATAGCACATTACTATCATATTTGTGCATATGTTTTTAATTTACATGAACAGTGTTGGACAAGTGGCCTCATCTCCTTTCTCTTCCCTTCCACACAATTGTGTGTGTGTGTGTGTGTGTGTGTGTGTGTGTGTGTGTGCATACACAGAGGCCAGAGGTCAACATTAGGATTGTCTTAGGGTTGCTACTGATGTGATGAAACACTGTGACCAAAAACAACTTGAAGAGGAAAGGGTTTTTCACTCACAGTTCCATATAACAGTTTATCATCAAAAACAGTGTGGGCAGGAACTCAGCAGGGCAGGAACCTGGAGGCAGGAGCTAATGCAGAGGCCATGGAGGAATGCTTACTGGCTTGCTCCCCATGACCTGTTCAGTCTGCTCTCTTATAGAACTCAGGACCACCAGCCTAGGGGTGGCCTCACCCACAATGGGCTGGGCCCTCCCACATCAATCACTAATTAAGAAAAGGCCCTACAGGCTTGACCATAACCATCTTATGAAGGCATTTTTCTCAGTTGAGGCTCCCTCCTCCATGATGACTACAGCTTGTGTCAAGGTGACATAAAACTAGCCAGCACAGGATTTCCACCCCTTAATGAGTAAGGCCACCTTCTAGGAATCTACCAGAGCTAAAGTACTTCTGGGGAGTGACCTGTGGAACTCATGGCCATGTTATTAGCTGGGAGTGAAGTTTTGCTTGGTCCCTGGAAGCTGAGGGTGTGGGGGCAGGTGAAGGAACTCTTTGCAGGAGGATGGAGGACAGGCAGGTGCAGGACAGGGGCCCCTCAGCCCAGCTCCAGGGTCTGCCTCCTCCCAGGCTCCCACACGCCAGTGCCCGTTATCAAGACAGATGAAGAAAGCCAAGTGAACACAGTGGAGTGCTGCAGAGAAGGGCCTTGGAGACTAGAGCCTGGTCCCACTCATCTGCAGCCCTCGCCCTTCCTCCAGTCTATGGGGCTCTAGGGTCCAGAGCAAGGGCAGTCCCTCAAGAGAACCCACTTTTCACGTCTCTGTCTCTATCTCATGGATTAAGGTTGGACATGGCAAAAGTAGAAGGTCTACTGAAGACATGTACTTGTGGTACACAAAAGATAGCTGTTTTACTCTTTTGACAAGGACAGTTGCCTCCAGTTGCCTCCCTTGGGGGTCTCTAGTGCCTGTCTTCAGCCATTAAAGTGTGTAAGACTTCTCTTTTGCATAATAGTATTCCTCCTGCCAGGCGGTGGGCAGGCGCGCACGCCTTTAATCCCAGCACTCAGGAGGCAGAGGCAGGCGGATCTCTGTGAGTTCAAGGCCAGCCTGGTCTACAGAGCAAGTTCCAGGACAGGCACCAAAGCTACACAGTGAAACCCTAAACCCTGTCTCAAAAAATAAAAATAAATAAATAATAGTCCTCCCACAAATCAACGTAGCCATGAAATGAGTCAGTACATGGCAGCTGCTGAGACAGTCCTGGCACAGAGAAAGGCTGTCTACGAGCTGGGGCCAGGGTTCAAGCACACGCTTCGCATATACATGTCCAAGGCTCTGCTTCAGTATCTGAGAGCAGGGGAGAGGAAGAGAGGGAGGGAGGAGGCTGAGAGAGAGAGAGAGAGAGAGAGAGAGAGAGAGAGAGAGAGAGAGAGTACAAAAATCCTGGCCCTTGTGGGAATGAGGGATGGAGGGATTTGGGACAGTGAGCAGAAGAGGGAGGGGTGCCAGGAGGACTGTGACCAGGTAGGCGATGACCTGGTGAATCAAGAAGGCTCTCTCTCTATCAGAGACGGGTGCCAAGGTGCCCTCTCACCAGCAGCAGAGCTAAGCAGGCTGCTAGGTGGCAGAGCTGTTTTCCTCTGCAAGGCTGATCTGTTTAAGTTTTTTAGGGCAGAGCAGGCCCCAGGGAAACTGGCCCTGCTTCTCAAGTCACTGGAAGAAAGGACATTGCCTTTCCATGGAGAGCAGAGCTACACTACCTGTCCCTAAGTGTGTACCCTGCCACAGACCCAGGAATACCCCAAGCAGAGAAGAAAGGGGGGTAGGACAGTAGGGAAAGATGTCTCTGGGGGTTCTGATCAGAACCCCTCCTTCCATAGGAACTGTGATTGGGGAGCAAGCCTCCAGCATGCGTGAGCACCTGACAGCTTCCTACAAGTGCCTGAGACTCAGCTGCTTCCCTCTTCCCACAGCGGGGCAGGGCAGATCTGCTGCCCAGGACCTCCTCTCCCAGATGCGACCCCAACCCCTCCGATCCAGAGGCCAAAGACAGGAGCAGTTGGTCCTTGTCCCTGCAGAAGAGGGAGAATGGAACCACCAGGGCAGCGCCACAAGAAGCCTGGTCAGGATGTCCATGTCCCTCGATGTCATGAACTGGTGCCCTGGTTTGATACAAGCCTCCTCCCCACCCCCCCACCCCCATTCCAACAGGTGGCGGGGGGGCGAGCATGAAAACTCTAATTCTGACCTGATCCTCCTGTTCATCTCTCTTTCTATCCGAACCAGAGGCCTTCATTATGATTGGTTGGTCCACCTCTTCCTTTTCCTCCTCCTCTTCCTCCTCCTCCTCCTCCTCCCCCCCTTCTCCTCCTCCTTCTCCTCCCCCTCCTCCTTCTAACTGGAAATTGAACCTAGACCTTCCTACAGGCTAGGCCAAGTGCTCTATCACTCAGCAATATCCCTATCTCTCTCTCAGTTTTTGAGACAGAGTCTCACTAAGTTTCCCAGGCAGGCCTTGAATTTGCCATCCTCCTGCCTCGGCCTCCTAGTAGCTGGGATTACAGGCCTGCAGCTACCAGGTCCGGTACCTTCATTATGTAAGCAGCACATTTTCCTAGCAATGATATGGATGCTAGGAGCGCCTCTTTACCTCCCCAGAAGAGATGAGAGCCCACTGTGTTTTGTCCTTTTTCTCCCTGCTCTCTCTGCCCACCCCCACCCACCTCACAGTTGTAGCCTAAGTCAGGTGTCTACAAGGGATTCTGGGCTTAGGGAAAAGGGCAAGGCAGAAAATAGAAGTGCCTCCCAATGTCTCCCAGTGTCTCCCAATGCCTCAAAATACACCTCCTGTTCTACAAAACAAAATCAGCCTTCCATCCAACTTCCAAATCTGAAATCCCAGCAATGTGTTTGACGCAGGTTTCTGTAGGAAGAGGAAGAGCTGGCTTCCGGTCCCACCCTGACAACGCTGCGGAGCACTCCACCCATCTGTTAGGCTGGCTGCAGCTGATCGGAGTGTGAATGCCAGCAGCAGGAAAGGCGTGCAGGGTGGGACTACCACAGAGATCTGGGGCAGACTAGTACACAGAAACCCAGAAACAAGGGGAGCCCATTTCTATGCCAAGGGACCAGACTACACCAGGAATGAGAACTTGACATGCTGCCACTCGGGCCCTGGCCACCAGCATCAGAAAGTGAAGGGGAAGCCAGGGAGTGTAGAGAGCCCTAGCCTGTGCCGTAATCGTGCAGAAACACTGCATCACTGAGTAACTGCAGAGGAGGAAGATTAGGTGAAGATAGCCTGAGTCCTCCAGGTCTTTGTGTCCAAAGTGTGATCCGTGGACCCCAGGATTCTCAGCATCACTGGGAAGTCAGTAGAGAGGTGGATATGGTGCGTTCAGATCTGCATGCCAGGAAGTGATGCCCTGGATTACGTCACAGCCCTGTGTGAGCAGAGTTGGTTAGAGGCAAGTGGCACTGTTAGAACCATTGTTCTCTTCTTATGGACATCCAGCCACTTTGGTGACCAACTCAGTCAGTCCCAGAAAGTTCTGCTGCCCTATAGCCAATCAAAACCAGATGAATGCATAAGGGCAGGAGCACAGAGTAGCAGGGACAGCCCAGACTCTCTCTACTCCCTCCCCTGTGCTGAGTGACCTAGGTGACAGCTGGCTAACAGAGGGGTCTCCCTTTCCAGGAAAGGCCATCAGACCAGGGTCTCTTCTCTCCTCCTCTTCTTGTTCCTCTCTTCTCCCTCCTCTTTTTGAAGCAGGGTCACATTTATACCAGGTTCAAGCATACTATGTAGCCAAGGATGACCTTGAACTTCTGATCCTTCTGTCTGTCGTTATATAACCAGTTCTATGGTGTGCTTAGGATCAAACCAAGAGCTTTGTGCATACTAGGCTAGCATTCTAACAAACTATATCCCCAACTAAACCAGGTTTTATTGAGCCCCTAATGGTGGGGTTCCACTCTTCTTCCTCCCCCCAAAATAGATATATACACAAAAGAGTTGCATTCACAGAATGGGCTGGATTCACAGAAACCACCCATGTACTCAGCCTGTCTGCTTCCTCCTTGTGTGGCCTGAGTGCCTGTTCCTCCTTACCCTATGTCAGGGGCCCTAGAACTGAGACATAGCCTCTTCCTTGCCTTGAGAGCCGGCTACACAAAGCTGCAAAACACTCAGGAGAAAAAGATTTGTTTCCAATCTGTGAAGGAGGTCTTGAGGTGTGGTATCAGAGGTAACAGGTCCATGTGCACAGTGAGGATCCACACAAAAGTTCTTACAGGTGATGAAAGAGATGGTGTCCATGACGTTTAGCTATTGTTAAGCATTCCCATAAATACTCTATCTTTATGAAGGTGAGCATCCTAGACAGATGTGGCAAGCCAAGTAACAGCCCTCTGAAAAGGTTTATAACCCGACCCCTGAAACGTGTGGTGCCCAACATGACAAAAGGGCCATTTGCAGATATGATTGGGTTATAAGTCTGGAGACGGGAAGAGCACAGTGGGCCCTTGAAAAAGAAGCCGGAGTGCAAAGTCCAAGTAGGTCGGAAAGACAGGAGGAGTTGACAGCATTGGGCTCCGGCTTTGAAGGGCTAAGTTGAGGCCATAGCCATAGACTTTAGGCAGTCTAAAGAGCTCTCGATGCAAAGGAATGGATTCTCCCTGGAGCCTGCAGAAGAAATGCAATTGGGAGCATGAATCCTAGACCTCTGACCTCCACCACAGTAAGATAGGAAGTTTACATTGTCTTAAACTATAGAGTTGTAACTTGTTACCACAGCAACCGGAAGCTAGTGCACTTAGACATTGCCAGGAAGAAACCAGTGCCTGCTGGGCTGAAGCTGCAGCCAGCAGAGCAAAATCAGAGCCTGTGATGAGAGAAAAGGGGGTGGGGGGCTGGGTACAGAGTGCTCAGCCTGTGACCTCACCCTTGGCTGCCCTGGCACCCTGACGCCTGTCAGCCCGTGGTTATATGCATGACCGGACCCCAAAGGGATCCTTGTGTAGTCGATGCTGTGCCAAAGGTGGGGGTGTGGCGAGTGGGCTGGTGGCCAGGAGAGAGCCCAATCAACCCCAGGCTGCAGGCAGGAGGCTGGCAGAGGTGGGACACACACTCTCTCTGCTGCACCCCAGAACTCCCTATTTTCTTGAATCTGTCACTGAACCCTCTTGGCTTTCCCTGGGAGAGTGTGAAAGGGACTTTGGGGTTGGAGAATGGGAATGAGGTCACAGCCTCAGCTCGGTGGCTGAGCAGCTAGATGGCCTTGGGCAGATGACTTTGCTCCTCTGAGTCTGTATCCTCCTCTAGAAGGGAAGTCATATTCTCCACTTCACAGGGTTTTATAGTGTCATAATGCATGTCCACAGCTCCGGCACAGAGCAAACCCTGCTGGTGCTGCCGCTGTATCTTTACATGATCCTGAAGTGCCCTCCGACACAAATCAAAGCTGATCTCTCCTGCTAGGTGCTGAGGTCTTCAAAGGGCTGTGGGCTCCGTCCATCTCTGCATCCTCAGCATTTCTATACCTACTGATAGGTATCTGGTAAGGAATATGCTTTATATGTTCACTCACTTGCTTATGAGTGACAGTGTTTTAGAGATACAGCCATATGAGGAAAGCAGACAGCACACATATAAACAGAGTGTGTTTGTGGTGTGTTCTGGATAGCAGTAAAGGAGAAAAGGAGGACAGGGAGGGAGGGGAGTGGGTAAACACTCTCTCTCTCTCTCTCTCTCTCTCTCTCTCTCTCTCTCTCTGTGTGTGTGTGTGTGTGTGTGTGTGTGTGTGTGTGTGTGCATGCGCGCACATGCACATGCATGTTAGGAGGCCTATCAAGGCACCCCTGGAGTAGACACCTGCAGGAAGAGAAGGAGTAGACAGAAGAGGGATATCTGGGAGAAGTAGACAAACAGGCCCAGTGGGAGCACAGGAGGAGAGCAAGGAGGCCAGAGTGGGCACACAGGGTGAGGAGAACGCAGTAGTTAACAAGGTCCACAGTGTAGAGGGCAGATCACAAAGGGCCTTGAAGGTCACAGTAAAGAGCCTGGATTTTATTTTGAGCAGAAAGAAACTACTGCCGGGCCTTCACATGCTCCAACTAATGTCTCGAAAGGGTCAACCAATTGCTATGCTTAAAAGGCTCTAGAAGGAGGCACTAGCAGAAGCTGGGAAAAACTAGGTCCATGGCTGCAATACAGGTGAGAGGCGGTCATGGCCTGGGTGGTAGAAGAGACGGGAATCGACGTGGCCCAATGGGCTATATCAGGAGGGCAGAGCCCAGGGGGCTTGCTAATGGATTAAATATGCGTGTGTGAGGGGAAAAGAAGGGGGTCTGGGAAGTATGGTGGAGAACTACACATGTCAGCATAACTGATCCTCGGGGTGCCTAGACAATTCTGTGAAAAACATTTCTAGTTGCGTGTGTAGTGGTATTTCTGGACAAGGTTAACATTTGGATCCACAGACAGCCAGGCTGATGGCTGTGTGAGCATCATCTAATCCCGGAGGAGCCTAAATGAAGAACAGCACAGAGGCTGAGTAACAATTCCCTCTCTCAGCCCACTGTCTTCCAGCTAAGACACAGGTCTGCTGCTCAGGGGCTTCAGTCAAAACAGTGAGTGCTTGGGGTCTCCACATTGCTGGTGGCACCTCGTGCTTTCTTTCAATCCCTATATCATGGAACCTAATATCATGGTTCCTTACGATAATTCTGTCTCTAGGTCTGCCTCCCCATCTCTGTCTCTCTGGATAGAAATCTAGAGGATGGATAGGCAGACACTTAGGTACACAGATCATTGGTTTTGTTCCTCTAGAAAACTCAGGTAGTGCACGAGGTCAGAAGTTCAGTATTGGTCATGTTCATTGTGAGATGTAAGGAGGCAGTGAGATAAGGCCTTGGCTGAGTACAGACCAGATAACTGAACTGACCTGAATACACCACATCTGTCTCTTGGCTCATTTGAATGTGGTTTTCTCCTCTGGGCAGTCCTCCATACCTAACCCTTAGCCTCCTCCATTCTCTTTTCAACAGCTGTAGTCTCCAGCTTTGGGCTCTTCTTGGAGAGCTGTACTGTTTGAGAAAGGTCACATAACCAACCCCCTTGATTGCCTAAGTCCCCTTCCCTCCACTTCTAAGGTTCTTTGATATCAGGGATTCCCACTCACAATAGCAAAGACCCTGAACAGAGGGCCCCCATTCATGCCAACAAGGACAGAACTGGATTGGGAGATCCGGTATCCCGTTCATCTGTACACATCCTCTGCTCTGCTTTGCTCTTGGTTTCCCAGCAAACCTCACTGCCAGCTACCGGAACACTGCTTGGATACTTCACACTACAGCAAGGCAGAAGGGAGCAGCCATACCCAGGCAGGCCCAGGGTCCGACTAGCTGGCGTCTGGAAGCTACTTTCTTTCTCTGAGTTTCATTCATGCCAACCATGATAATGGACTCCATGCATCACTGACTCATGTGATAGCTGAGGATATGACACCCTTGCAGGCACTGTTGGGGAGTAATAAACAATCATATTAAAGAGGCTTTTCCTCACTCTTCTGGGCTGCCCCAGCTAGCCTCTTTCCTAGATTATTCTGCTCTCTGTGCTCTTTCTGTCCTTCAGAAGCCAAATTTACTATGGACGTCGGCAACCAGGGAATGGTTGTCAAGGGCCGGGCTTTTAGCAACGCTGTCTGTTGCCGTGGAAACTTGTCCTCGCTGGGTTCCCTGGGCTCCCAGCAGTCGGTTGGTTTTGGTGCCATCTGCTGGATAAAGAGCCACACTGCTTCTGAAGCACCCAGACCTGGGCGTCCTATCCCGGAGCAGGAACCGCTCCGATTCCGCGCCATCACCTCTCCACAGAAAAGTTCTTTACTCCTTTTGCCCTCAGATTTCTCCCAGGGACAGGAGGCTTGCAACTTGGCCTCTGTGGACTACAGGGAGGGTTGGAAGCCATGTCCTTCCCTACAGCAAGAGAGGAAGCAGACCCGCGGAGTGGGGTCTGGAGGAAGTCCCTCCCCTTAATTGATTTTCTGTAGTGCGGAATCCGCAGTGCAGACTTGGATTTTGCTTTTCACTAGCCTGCGTTTGCCAGGAGGGTGCAGCCAGGATAGAAATGCTTGTGCTGGAGATGGGTGACTGACGGTTGGGGTCACAGCAAGGTCCTTATGCAAACCCCCTTCCTCCCGTCCTTCTCCTTCCAAGCCATTCAGTCCCTGGTGACCTAGTGGGACTGACTTCCCTTTCATCTCCCTGGAGAACCTTCTTTTCCCAACAAGACAGTTGCCGGAGCTCAGTTCATTCTGCCTCACCCCTGACTAAGAGAAAGCAGCAGACACCTGCTGGGAAGACATGGCTCCCAGGTGATTCGTGCTGAGGAAGCCCCTACCCTCTCCCCGCCCTGAGATAAGCCTGTGTGGAAGGTGCAGTGTAAAGTGGGCTATCTGAGATTCAGGGTCAAGAGACAGAGAGCCGCTGTGCCTCCGATGAAGACGCTTCTCTTTCTCAGTCATTATCACCAGTAAGGAAACTGAGGTCTGAAGTCGGGGAGAGTCTGGGGTCTGTCTGTCCCAACAAAACACTGTACGCTCCACCCAGAAGCTCCTGCCCACCTCTAGCTGGGCTGGGAGCAAAGGTGGCAGACAGTGGCCCAGAAGCTAAAAGGACAGAACAGAAAATGGGACCAAGGCACCCCCACCTTCCATCCTAGCTGAGCTAGAAGAAAGGTAAGTCTAAGAGGGTGACTCCTCGCGCCTCAGACGAAGGGCTTGCTATGATACAACAGCTGTGTGTTCCAGTCTGTCTACCCCGCCACTCCTTCTGACCAGACTCTGCTGTCAAGCTCTCCAGATAAAGGCCAAAAGGGTCATTGTGGGCGTGGAGAGGTAGGGAGGATTGGTCTTCCAATGCCCTAAGTCCTGTCTATCTGTAAAGCTGGGCTCAGATCCTAGGCCTCCTAAGCCAAAGGGGGATTTGAAGGAATGAGGACTCCGTCTAAGGCAGAGATAGGAGCTGTCCTACATCCCCATGGCCAAGTTCCTCTTCCTCTCTGGATCCCCTTCCCAGATGAGGGGAGAGGGCTGGGAGAGCGATTGAGGGAAGCAGGTCATTCACAGGAGCCCTCTGGGATGGGCTCTCTACTCCCTGATTGACACTAGGACCATCTAAGCCGAAATGACCCTTAGGGGAGAGCTAGCCCAGGCCTCTCTCCTGAACTCTTGACCCACGCCATTTGAACTCTCCTGTTCTCAGCTCTCCAGGGGGGGACCAGAAGAAAGGAATGCTCATACACCTCCTCCATCTGTCCCCACAGTACACCAGAGATGGCCAACATGCTCCTGGCTGAGATGAAGGCACCGTGGGTCTTCTGCTGCTCCACACGCCCTCTACCGAACATTGGGCCTCCCAGAGTCCCTGGCACTGCCCCACTCATCTTTCTATCCTTGCTGGGGAAAAGGCCAACGGCCAAGGCCAAGTACCTGTAGGTCTACCTGGCCTGCATTTTCCATGTCCATGCTGGGGCCTAGTTCAGATTGCTCAGGCATTGGTGTTACTTTGGGGACCGAGGGCACTGGCTGGCTGCCCAGTAGTGACATATGGTCTCTCCCTGAATGGCTGCACCTTCACACCAATGCTGTTGCCCGCAAAGTGAGGACCTGAGGTGTTACTGCAGCAGTCTGACCTCTGACAAGCCAAACTGTAGGCAGTAAAGTGATAGGAGCCCTAGGCCAGGTAGCACCAGAGAGTGCCAGAGAGGCACCTGCACCATGCCAACCAGGCTGGACTTCTGATGAGCACTGAGCTCTGCTGATCAGGCCCTGTTCCCAGCTGCTTCTGCACATCTTCCCAGAGCATCTGTTCCACTTGAGTATTGACCACGGTGACTAGATTTACTGTCTGAGTGAGCATGTTGTCTGGGTTATCCCCTAGCCCCTCCCTAGTCTATTCGATCACATGATCCTTTGGTCATGAGCCCATGGGATAAGTGCTGAGTTATCTGAAATTGTTTTTTTCTACCACACATGCTTTGGAAAGTCTCAGAAATCATGCTCTTGGAAGCAGTTTCCCTCTACAACAGTGATTCTCAAAGTCTGCTGAGTATCAGAAGTTGGGGGCACAATGTCTCACTCAGTGATCCTGAGCTTCTGGGGTCTTTATTGGCTCCCTGTAATAATCTGAAACATACTCACTGTGATGTTTAGTCTATTTGCCCACCTGAAGAGATCTGGAATCACTCGGGAGATGGGCCTCTGGGTATGTCTATGGTGGATCATCTTAAGTTAATTGAGGTGAGAAGACCTGCCCACTGTGGGTGGCAACATTCCATAGGCTTGGGGGTCGCTCATCACTCTCCTCTTCCTTATTAGGACCCTGCTGCTTGGACTTCCCCACCATGATGGACTGCACCTGGTACTGTAAGCCAAAATAAACCCTTTCCCCCTTAGGTTGAGAGCATTTCATCATAGCAAAAAGAAACTAAGACACCTCCTGAGCAAGAAATTCTAGAAAGGTCAGCCAGTGCTAATAAACTCCAGACCATTGGGGCTCACCAGCTTGCAAAGTAACCTATTCTAATGCCAGGTCTGTTGGTCAATGAGATCTAATTCAAAGGGAAACTCTCCCTTTGATCCACTCAACAGCTTGATTCAAAATGAACTGGTTTGATATGTCTAAAAGGCTGGACCTCCTTCCCATCTCAATGGATGGGTCATGCTGCTTCTGTAGGGTAGCCTGATTTAGTCCATCCCCTCATCTTTTACCACCTTATGGGACCCAAGCATCCTCCCACCAGCTAGGTCACCTTTGTCTATGCCCACAGGGCCACAGACCTTCAGGGCACAAGGCCTCCAGGGACTCTCTGGATAGTTCCTGCAGCAGCTCTGAGCTCAGCCACCTTGCCAACCCAACTCTCCTCCCCAGTCCTGGAGGTGCCATAAAGCTTAAAGCTACTGTAGCAAAAACCTGGTGCAGACTCAGGTTGTTTTTTTAAAACAGGTTCAGGCCCACAGCCAAGGGGCTTCCTGCAAGTGGGGCCTGGGTGGGAGCAGCCATTTTCAAGGTATGTCAGCTGGGCCCCATGGTCGTCACAGGAGCATTTCTGGATAATTACCACACCACAGGATCTTTCCTGCCACTGGGGCATTCCCAGGACGTCTTCCTCTCTGCCCATTGGCATGGTGACTATGCCAAGGCAGGGCAGCCTTGCCACCACTGCCAACCTCTACCAGCAGCATGGTAAAATGATGTGAATGTCTCAAGACCTCTCAACTCTAGAGACCTGGTCTCCCGTGTGGGTCGTCTGAGTAAGCTGCACTCTCCTGCTAGAACATCCAGACATGTTTTCTAGAGGGTGTTCAGAAACCTTTGGAGAGCAGTGTCTGTTCAGCAGGGAGATGGAGGCTTCAAGCAGTCTTGAATCACAGTAAGCAGTGGTAGTTCACCCATCTATCTGCCTTGTTCCACTGGTGAGGTCATAGGTCTTGAGTGGTCAGGGCCCCCTCCATACTCTACCCTCATCTGTTCAAAGTTTCTGTGGCAGCTATACTGAACCCTTCTGTGATACTTCTCAGTCGCAGGAGCTGCTGGACAGCTTCCTTGGGCCTGGGAGACTTCCTATCATATGGCCCACCGATCATATGGTACACCCTCAAGTATGGTATCCCCTCCTCATCCTCCTGGAGAGGCCAGGCCCTGATGGGACTCCCAGTCACTACCAGGACAGAGGCCAGCCACCCTGTGGTCAAAGGACAGAAACAGGATGGCGGAGGCATCGATAACTGCTTGATGTATTCTGATTATTTAATAGACAATGATGCAATTGTGACCCCAAAGTGTGCAAAGTTAAAGCCTTCAACTGCAGCTGAGAGGAGAGGGCAGGAACGGTACACCTGGGGATGATGGTGAGTCAGGAATGAAGGGCAGGTGGTCCTAATCAGGTCCTCCCCCGGTTCAGAGATGGGGTAGTGGGCTGAGGAGCAGGGCCCATGGGAGCCTCTAGCCAGAGGAAGGGGGCAGAGACCTCCCCCTGGCCTGGGTCTGGGACCCAAAGTGCCACATGGCTGAGGACAGCAGTCCAGGGATGGGCCAGAGGCAGGGTCAGGAGAGCACCATTTCCTGGGGGGGAGGGGGCAGCGAGAGAGGTGCCCTATGGGAGAAGCCAGGAGGGGCCGCCTTCCCAGGGGTCAGAGGTGGACATTAGGCCAGAGCAGGCTGCAGCGAGGAAGACCTGAGGCAGGCACAGGGCCTGAGAGCCAAGGCTGGCTGGGCTCGGGGGCTGCAGAGGGGGGAGCCCAGAGGAGCTCACGGGGGCAGCCTGGCACAGGGAGCTACCTGACTCTGTGGGGTTGCCCAGAGAAGGGCCACAGTCCCCTCAGGGACTCCACTCCTCTCCCTGGAAAGGAGCTGGGGAACCCGTAGTGCAAATGCGTGGACCACTCAGTTATGGAGGGAGGCTGTTCCTGGAGTGGGACCCCGGGGTTCGCTCCCTCCACTGCCGTGGGCTCCACTGCCGTCCTCAGTACAGCCGCTTCTCGTAACTGTGAAGGCAAGTAAGGGAACTAAGAGAACGTGTGTAGGCCCTACTCCCTTCCCAGCATCCTCTCGCCCAAGGCCCCCAGATTTGGGAGAGGGCGAGGGGCTACGGAGCTTGCCTCTCAGCCAGGGGGCTAGAAGAGGCAGAAGTGGCCCTGGACCTCTGTCTTCCTTTGGCCAGGGCTCCCTGAAAAACCAGGCCAGTCCCACAGAGAGCCACGCTCCTTCCAGCCATTGCCACACCTGAGTGGACTGTCCTCGGTGCCCAGGAGGGGGAGACAGCTCAGGGAAGCACAGCCATCCTCATGGAGCAGGCTTTAACTAGTTCAACCTTTGGTGCCCCGTTTCCACTGTGCGCCCCCCCCCCCACGAACGGTCACTCAGGCCCCTCATAACGGGGTAGCCCCTGGCCTGTCATCTCTTGGTTCCTCAGAGTGAGACTTATGTTTTGGTTGGATGAGGGGCTTTGGTTGGTCTCCTCCGCCATGCTGCTGGGAATTCAGACCAGAAGGGTCCACCTGGGTCTAGGTCCCAGGATTACAGTCCAGCACTACCGCCCGCCCACTTCCCACTCTCCCAGCCCACGGCCCACCCAGACTGCCCCTACTCTACTCTACGGCTGGCCCCGGCAGCGCAGTTACTTACACGGCAGAAAGGTATAGCTACGGGAGGGCGGGGCAGAAAGAGAGACAAGTTAGATGCCCGCCTACGCTTAGGGGGGCGTGTCCTCTTGACCAGGGCGGGATATGCGTGTCTACAGCTGCAGCTGCCAACCAGCTCGGCCCCCAACCCACAGTCACGCCAGCACGGGGCCTGCCATCCGTCTCTCTGCCCGTCTCCCCACCACAGGGGGCACGCCCCCATTTTCTGCCTGCCTGCCTGCCTGCCTGGGGCCACCACCAGCAAGAGCCCAGCACCGTCAGCCCCTGCTACCAGCCACCAAGCTTCTTGAGCAAGCAAGATCTAAGGAGCCCGGAGGGGGCTAGTAGCCAGCCTGCGTGAGTGCGGGCACCACGGCAAGGTTCCAGGGTGAACTGGGCCCTGTAGACAGGGTGACAGAGAGGCCACACGGCCCCTGGGACCTTCGGGCTTTGAATCTGTCCAACACAGCATCAGCCAGCGGCTGCCACCAACTTACGAGTGGAGGCCGTGCACGCCGCCCTCGATCTGGGCCGACATGGTCCGCTTCTCAAACTTGAGCTCTCCTGAGTACATCATGGATCTGGGGAGGTGGGCAGGTGAACAGGTCAGGAACACCCCCAGACAAAAAAGAAAAAGAGGAAGAACGAGGGACACCTCTCCCAAGTCCCTCTGCTGCCCCCTCAAGTTACAACACTCACCGCAGGACAGACAGACTTTGGGCCCCAATATCCTGGCAGCCATGCTGGATCCCCGCTATGAGGTAGGGTACAAACTTCTGAATGGAGCCTTTATCCTGGATGGAGCCCGAGACACCCTGTGCGATCTTCACCTTATCCCCCTCACTGCATGGAGGAGGGTGGAGAGGCTGAGCCCAGAGGTCCAAGGCTCCGAGGACCCCACCCCGCCTCTCCAGGGTACCGTCAGAAAGGATACCACCCAGGAGGATCCCCACAGCAGCCGCAGCCACATACTAGGCAACAGCAGAGACAAGGTGGCCTCCAGGTCAAGTATCCCAGGCTCTGGTCAGGTCAGACTGCATCTGCCACTAATGCATGTGTGTAAGTTTCTAAAACTGGGGTACTAGGATGGCTGACATCTGAGGTCCAGGGCATGGAGGAGTTCAAGAGCATGAAGACAAACCTGAAGTATCGTTTCTGGCTGCTGCTGCTCTTCTCCATGGCGTCCAGAGACCCCATGCCCCGGTACTTCTTAAGCCTCACCCCATCTGAGAAGAAGTATTCGCCAGGGGCCTCCGTGGTGGCAGCCAGCAGGGAGCCCATCATCACTACAGAGGTCGAGGTGGAGGGATCAATGCCTCCTATTCCAACTGTCCCGTTGGCTCTCAGCCCCACCTGCCCAATCCAAAGTGCTCCCCCTCACCTGTGGAGGCTCCAAGTGCCAGGGCCTTGACCACGTGGCCCACGGTCTGGATGCCACCATCAGCTATTACCGGTACCCCAAAGCGCCGGGCATACTCAGCCACCTTGTAGACGGCAGTGCCCTGGGGTCGGCCGCAGGCCATCACTGGGGATGCACAGGACAGACATGAGTCAGTGGTCTATTGCCACTCATGGAGAAGGGATGGGGAGAGATGATGTTTCTGAGGTCTAAGGCAGTAATAGTAACAAGCAGGTGGGATGTCATTCTAGGTACCTAAGTTACCCACCACCAACAGCATCATAAGGGATGTGGATCAGGGAATCAGTGCCAGCCTCCAGAAAACAAGACATCAAGACTGGTGGTCTCTAACATCAGCTGCTGGGAAGGTACAGCTCCCTGTGATGGAGTCCTCTGCACTAGCAGCTAATCCCAGAGTTGGGTTCTTATGGCCTCCTTTGGTTTTGCTCTCCTATTCCTTCTGTCTGTCTGTCTGTCTGTCTCTCTGTCTGTCTCTCTCTCTCTCTCTCTCCTCTCCCCCCCCTTGAGGGTTCCACTCTACTATTACACATGGCAGTGTGGGTGTATAATATCCCCAGATGTTCGGAGACATGTTTTCTTCATACCTTAGGCATAATCTGGTCACAAATGCAATCCAAGCCCTCAGCTGTCTTCCAACACACACCTTATAGAAAAGTGTAACACCAACCTTGGGCCTCCAGACAGAGTCTCCA